ATAATTTTAATATTTAAATTATATAAAATATATATATATATACAGTACGTACTAGGAAAAACACATTTATGATAACTAAATCATGTTTTCTTCACCTTCAACACCACCAAACCTTAGAAATATTTTTCATAATATTTTAATAATTTTAATATTTAAATTATATATAAAATATATATATATACAGTACGTACTAGGAAAAACACATTTATGATAACTAAATCATGTTTTCTTCACCTTCAACACCACCAAACCTTAGAAAAGAGTGACTGTTTTTCCTAAGAAAAACACCTAAGAAAAAGAATGGATAAAATCCGGCATAACTTCATAATCGTTCAAGGACTGAAGCTTCATCTAGCAGAACTTGGATCCGGTAATAACTCTTCCACTTTCTCTTTAATTAATATTACCTTTTGCGTTCTCGCTTTCAGACAGTTTTTCTACTGATTGTTAGTTTTTCCATATCTTCAGGTCTTAACGTGGTGCTGTTCTTGCACGGTTTCCCGGAGATATGGTACTCGTGGCGCCACCAGATGGTTGCGGTAGCCGATGCTGGATTCCGTGCCGTCGCACCCGATTACAAAAGGCTACGGACTTTCGGACCCTCCACCGGAACCCGAGAAGGCAACATTTTCCGATTTGGTTAGCGACGTTGTTGCGATCATCGATCACCTCGGAGTTAACAACGTACTGTTTTTTTTATTTATGGACCAGCCCATTTTAATTAGTCCTCAAGGTTTTGAAAAATCTTTAAAGAATCCCTTAGTATTTTCAGTTTCTCAAGTAAGGAAACTTTGTAATGCAATACTTTTGTTTGGATAAAAATTAGTAAAAAGAAGAGAAGGGGAGGAGAAGTGAAGAGAAAAAAAGAGTTGATATTAATGTTGTTTGGATAGATGGAGTTAGAGGAGAGAGAAGGAATATATTTTTGTTTAATTAAATAATTTAAATAAAATAAAATAAAATATTTAAACTTTACTATTTAATATAATAATTGAAATAAAATATATGTATATATTTTTGTGTATGAAAAATACAGATATAGTATTAAAATGATCAAAATATCATTAATAAATAAATATAAAAGAGAGTTTAGGTTGAGGGAAATAAAAGGAAGGAGAGAAGAAGATTCTTTAACTAATATCTACATTATAATTTGATTAATTAAAAAAAAAATTTCTCTCATTCATTGTCCTCCACCTAAATATATTAGGAGATTAGTATATATTAATTTTGATTTTTTTAAAAAAATTTAAATTTTCAATTCATATTAAAAAATTCACATTATTAAATGTTATTATCTAGATTTGAAAATTCATTGTCCTCCACCTAAATATATTAGGAGATTAGTATATATTAATTTTGATTTTTTTAAAAAAATTTAAATTTTCAATTCATATTCAAAAATTCACATTATTAAATGTTATTATCTAGGTTTGAAAATCGATTATATATTCTAATATAATTAGTTTTCAAATCAAAA